GAGCCTGGAAGCTAGAGGGGGCAGCGGCTGGAGACCTTGCGGCCCCCATTCTGCAGCGGCCTGGCGGGTGGTGGCCCGAATTTCCACCTGAAAACAGGCGAGGCTGGTTCTGGGAGGGGCACGGAGCTAACCGGCTGGCCAGAACCACCCTTTCTCGAGTCTGGCAGGTGGTCCCAGTCTCTCGCCCAACGTGCGCACTACTCCCACTTCCCAGCCAAAGGACTCCAGGTTTAGGCTTAGTTCTCTCCTAGAACAGGGCCTGTGGAGCCCACTGAGGCCTGAGGCCCAAGGATGTGGGGTCCAGGAAGAGCCCAGTGCCCTCAGAGGATGCTCAGATCTGATCTCCTGAAGAAGTGGCCACCAGAGAAAGCCAGTCGACTTTCAGGCACACAGCACACCAGCAGGCTAACTGTACCTGCTTTGTGCTCGTTGGCGCTGCCGGGGGGGACTGATTCACCTGGCAGCTTGGCAGGCTTTTTTTTTTTTTTTGGAGACGGAGTCTCACTCTCCCAGGCTGGAGTGCAGTGCCGGATCTCAGCTCACTGCTAGCTCCGCCTCCGCGGTCCCGCCATTCTCCTGCCTCAGCCTCCCGAGTAGCTGGGACTACAGGCGCCCGCCACGTCGCCCGGCTTATGTTTTTGTATTTTTTAGTAGAGATGGGGTTTCACCGTGTTATCCAGGATGGTTTCGATCTCCTTGACCTCGTGATCGCCCGCCTCGGGCCTCCCAAAGTGGCTGGGTTTACAGGGTGAGCCACTGCGCCTGGCCCAGTAGGCTTTCTTTTAAAATTGCTCTGCGTGTCACTTAAAAAATATTGTTTTCATTGTTACAAGGTACAAAAGAGAACAGTGCGAAAGAGGCCAAGACTGTCATCCCAGCACTCTTGGAGGTTGAGGCAGGTGCACGCTTGACCAGGTTAAGACCAGCCTGGGCAACACAGCAAGAACCTGTCTCTGACGAAACATTAAAACATTAGGTTGGGCCGGGGTGCGGAGGCTCACGCCTTGTAATCCCGCACTGTGGGACGTGGAGGTGGGCAGATCACGAGGTCAGGAGTTCGAGACGATCCTGGTTAACACAGTGAAACCCTGTCTCTACTAAAAATACAAAAATTTAGTAAGTGTGGTGGCGGGTGCCTGTAGTCCAGTTACTCGGGAGCTGAGGTAGGGATTGTTGAACCAGAAGCTGAGGTTTTGCCTGTAGTCCCAGCTACTCGGGGGGCTGAGGCAGGAGAATCGCTTGAACCCATGAGGTAGAGGTTGCAGTGAGCCAAGCTCATGCCATTGCACTCCAGCCTGGGTGACAGTGAGGCTCTGTCTCACAAAAAAAAAAAAAAAAAAAAAAAAAAAATTAGTTGGGTGTGGTGGTAAACACATGCGGTCCCAAGCTACTCAGGAGGCTGAGGCAGAAGGATGGCTGGAGCCTGAGTCAGAGGCTGCAGTGAGCCACGAGCACACCATTGCACTGTAGCCTGGGCGACACAGTGAGATCCTCTTTTTTTCTTTTTTTTGAGGTGGAGTCTCGCTCTGCAGCCAAGGCTGGCGTCTAGCGGTGCAATCTCAGCTCACTGCAACCTCCACCTCCTGGAAACCCTGACTCTCTTAAAAAAAACAAAACCAAATAAAAAAGATAAAATGGGGCCTCACCACGTGAGGTCAGACCACCACTGTTCATCTTCCTCCCATAGCAACTGCCTCCATGGCCATCGCTGTCCATGCCCCGCCGGGCCCCGCAGCACCCTTGACCCCGCTGAGGCAACCAGAAGAGCCTGCTTAGAGCGCAGCTCCCTCTGGACTCCTCTCACCCTCCCAGCCTCTGTGCTGCCCCGGAACGCGGAACGAGGCCCCAGCTCTTCTGCTGCTTGGACCCCTGTAGGCTGGGGCGCCTGGGGCCAGCAACACGGGGTGTGACCCCACAGGCTTCTGCACAGCAGCTCCCACTGCCAAGTGCCCCCTCTGCCATCCGTATCCTCCAGAGACCTCCTCAGCCACAGCGGGGAGGCCATGGACCCCTAGAGTGACAGGCAGCCCCTTACCCACCTCCTTCGGGTGCAGACCCCCCAACCCTCGCCCAGTACAGGGAAGGTTTCCAGGGGGTACTTGGCCTGCCCCTCGGCCGAGGTGGCCCTGAGCTGCTCACCCAGTGCCTTGCACAGCTCCGGGTGCTTCACCCCAATGGTCTTCAGCCTCTGCAGCAGCTCTGACGAGGTCAACTGCCGAACCAGGTACAGGGCCACGGAGTAGCTCTGGGGACAGAGGGGCGGGGTCAGGGCTGGCAGGGCGGGGGCCGGGGCAGGGTGGGCACCGAGCATGCACTCACCTTGCCGTAGTTCCCCCAGGTGACGGTGATGCGGTTGGTGGCCGAGGACAGGTACATGAGGTGGGTGAGGTTGATGGGGCGGCACGGCCTCTTGGGTTCCACCCCAGGCTTATTGGAGGGGTAGTAGCCCTGCAAGCAGACAGGCTGCTCAGCCTCGAGCCAAGAATGGCTGGAAAATCCAACGGCCCCACCCTCCCTCCACGCCCCCCACCCTCCCTCCACGCCCCCCAAACTCGTGTAGCAGACGCGGGGCGGGCCGTGCTCACCGGGACTGAGCAGTAGCTGTGGTTGACCTTCACAGCGATGTTGGGCGGGTACTGGTCCTCCTGAGGGCAGCTGGTGTCTGAGTAACAGATTCTGCAACGACAACAGGGACCATGGGGCGGCAGGAGTGGGCGCACAGGAGGGGCTAGGCCGCTGTGGGGAACAATGGGGACCATGAGGCGCACAGGAGGGGCTGGGCCGCTGTGGGGAACAATGGGGACCATGAGGCGCACAGGAGGGGCTGGGCCGCTGCGGGGGTACACAAGTGGGAGTCAAGTGGCAGTGATGGGGGCACTGGAGAAGGTGACATGGGGGGTATCGGGGCCCCCGGGTGTGGCCTGAGCAGGTGGTGGGATGGTGGCGTATCCCCAGACAGGGACAGATGGCAGGCTGGGGGGAGCTGGGCTCTGCTGTTGGCAGGGGAGACTGAGAAGAGCCTGGACCAGGACTGGGGGGCGGGGGGGAGGGGGGGGCAGGTGGCCGGGGGTCCAGCCCTGGGGTCGTGGGCACACCTGGGCATACCTCAGGACGACCTGCACGGCTTTAACTCCGGGCTGCAGTTCTCTGTGGGTGTGGAGCAAACCAGAGGAAAGGAAAGGAGAGCGGAGTGAGGAAGGCGCAACCTCAGCCTGCCCCACAAGGTAGAGACCGCCACCCCACAAGGCTCCCTCCCCTAGAGCTGGGAAACTGAGGCCCAGGACTCTTTTGTGCAGGCCAGGTGAGACAGGAGTGGCTGTGGGGTCAGGAGAGGGGCTGGCCTCCCTGGAAAATGTAAGAGAATCGACCGCAAAACCCTGAACCAGAGAGGGCCGCCAGGTGCCTCTCACTGCGAGGAAACAGCTAAAACGTGCATGCTGGAATGTAGCAGCCAGCTCACAACGGCAAGAAAATGCCCAGTCTGCGAGGCCGAGGCCGGAGGAGCTCTTGAGTCCAGGAATTTGAGACCAGCCTGGGCAACATGGTGAAACTGTCTCTACAAAAAATACAAAAAATTATCCGGGCATGGTGGTGCACACCTGTGGTCCCAGCTGCTTGGAGGCTGAGGCAGGAGGATCGTCTGAACCCGTGGAGGCGGAGGCTGCAGTGAGCTATGATTGCACCACTGCACGCCAGCCTGGGTAACAAAGAGAAACACTCTCCAAATTAAAAAAAAACAAAAAAACCCCAGTTAACACCTGAGAATAAACTTTAATAAGAAACATCACCAGGAGAAGAGAAAAAAGTCTCTCCACCCAAAGACGCATCCGTGCATGTTCACAGCAGAAATGACCACGACAGCCACAAAGTAGCGGCAGCCTGAGTGTCCTTCCACAGACGGAAGGACCAATACACACGGCACGTGACCCAGCCACGGAAAGGAGCCAGGCTGACCCGGGCCTCAGCACAGGTGTACCGTGAGGACGTCCCGCCCAGTGAGAGATGCCAGACACAAAAGGACACACAGGGCAGGTGGCTCACGCCAGTAACCCCAACACTTTGGGGGGCGGAGGTGGGTGGGTCACCTGAGGTCTGGGGTTCCAGACCAACCTGGGCAACATGATGAAACCTCGTCTTTACTAAAAATACAAACATCAGCTGAATGCGGTGGTACATGTCTGTAATCCTAGCTACTCAGGAGTCTGAGGCAAGAGAATCACTTGAACCTGGAAGGCGGAGGTTGCAGTGAGCTGAGATCGCGACACTGCACTCCAGCCTGGACAACAGAGTGAGATTCCGTCTCAAATAATAATCATTTAAAAAAGCCACAGTGTGTGACTCCACTTCTACAAAATGTCTAGGACAAGCCCATTTACGGAGATAGGAGGGGATGCGTGGGGGCCAGCGGATGAAGGGTGGTGGCTGATGGGGATGGACACAATTGCTCCGAGACTAGGCAGTGGTGGGAGCTGCACTACCTATTGATCCACGAGAACCCACTCAATGACACACTTAAAAACTGCGTATTCTATGGCATGCAAATCATATCTCAACGTAAGAAATACAAACGCGGGTCGGGCACGGTGGTTCATGCCTGTAATCCCAGCACTTTGGGAGGCAGAGGCGGGTGGATCACGAGGTCAAGAGATCGAGATTATCCTGGCCAACATGGTGAAACCCTGTCTCTACTAAAAATACAAAAATTAGCCAGGCATGGTGGCACATGCCTGTAGTCCCAGCTACTCGCGAGGTGGAGTCAGGAGAAGAATATCGCTTGAACCCAGGAGGCGGAGCTTGCAGTGAGCCGAGATCGCGCCACTGCACTCCAGCCTGGCGACAGAGCAACTCCGTCTCAAAAAAAGAAAAAAAAAGAAAAGGAAATGTCCAAAAGCTTTCTGAGGAGAAACCCAAACTGATTTTTTTATACTGTGTGGCTGGCTCGAGCACCCTGCAGCAGGGACGCAGTGTGGGTGGAGCTGTGTGGACCCAGGTTCACAGACAAGGAAGAGGAAGAAGGTGACGTCACCACCTTGGGTCACCCAGGCAGAGACGCCTCTGTGGCCAGGCCTGGCTCAGCTGGTTCTGAACCCTTACTAGGTGTGAGGGCCAGGCTGGGAGGCCCCGGGAACCTGGCCCCACAGCAAGTAGAGGCGGTGCGTCTGAAGCAGCTGGGCATGAGAAGCTGGGCATCAAATGGGGGCGCCCAGCCCAGCCCTGCCACGGACTCAGGGGTGACCTGGGCAAAAGGCCTCCCCTGTCCTGAGGGTCCAGCACCCACCATGAGGCTGCCCCGGTAGGAATCTGTCTCAGCTGGAGGCAGGACAACCTTAGAGAGACTGAGGGAGGAGCAGAGCACAGGGCAGCCACACTGGCCCCTCACCTGCTAGAGCTCAACCGTCCTCATCTGAGGGCGGGGACACCACGCAGTGTCTGGGGACATCCGAGGGAACGATCCCACCTCACTATCCACGGTGCGCAGGGGTAAACCCTGTGTTCATTATCTGGGAAAAAACCTGACTTTGGCTGGGCGCGGTGGTTCACGCCTGTAATTCCAGCACTCTGGGAGGCTGAGGTGGGTGAATCACCTGAGTCAGGAGTTCGAGACCAGCCTGACCAACATGGCAAAACCCCATTTCTACTAAAAATACAAGAACAGCCGGGCGAGGTAGCAGGCGCCTGTAATCCCAGCTACCTGGGAGGTTGAGGCAGGAGAATCGCTTGAATACGGGAGGTGGAAGTTGCAGGAAGCCAAGATCGTGCCACTGCACTCCAGCCTGGGCAACAAGAGTGAAACTCAGTCTCAAAAACAAACAAACAAAACAAAACACCTAACTTCCTGCTCATGCTGGACACCAGAATAAATTCCGGATAAGGCGGGCGGTGTAAACCAGGGACCCCAGCTCCCGGGATTCACCTCCTCTCTCCCCCTGCAACTCAGGGTGTGGATTTCAATGTGTGCAGCCTTCTGGGACCTCAGCAGGGCAGAGGATTATGGGACGCAGAGTCTCTTGGGGGTACGTGGAATCCAATAACCCAGGGAGGTCTCACCCGCGTTATCCTGCCCCAGGGGACACTGGACAACGTCTGGGGACATCTGTGGCTGTCACAACATGGGTGTGTTCTCGGCATGGAGTGGGTGGAGGCGAGGAATGCTACTCAGCACCCTGCAGCGCCCAGGATGGTCCCACATGCAGAGGGCAAGACCGTGTTAAAAGGGGACAGACAGTCAGTCCGCCTCTCTCTAGCGGGCTGCAGGGTACAGGCAGTGAGCACACAGCCCAGCAGGTGAGACTCAGGACGGCGTTTTCTGGAAGGCAGCGAACCTGGCCACTGCCTTGCAGCACGGTTCTGGACTGAGCCCGAGCCGGGCCTGCAGTGGGCGTGGCTGCCGGCTCTTCCAGTGAGCCCAGGAGAAAGCGGGCGGGCGGCAGGGCACGGGGCTGGGGGGGGCCGCGCACCTGGAGTTCCGGATCAACTCCACCTGTCTTGGCGTCAACGCGAAGATGCACGGGCTCTCCTGAAGCTTCTCGTTGTTCTGTGGGACTGAAGACAAACACAGGGTCATGGGCATGTCTGGTCCCTGGCAGGTCCCCCGAGCCCAGTCGCTTTTCCCGGCCTTCTTCTCTTCAGATCAGGAAACAGGAAATGGGAAGCTGGCTGGACAGATATGTGGGGCAGAGGTGGGGGCCGCCCAGGGAGGAGGATGAGGGAGGAGAATGAGGGAGGACTCCCGCCCATCCCCTTCTCGGGGCCACTCACCACGGCCCATGTCCTGTTGAGGGCCACTCAGAGAGCCAGTGCCCTTTGCAGCCCATGGGATGCAGGCGTCTATTTAGGAAGGCTGAAAAATGCCCAGCTGCCTGGGGGGAGAGCTGGACCCAGCCAGGCCTGCAGGACCTGCCATCCCTCCTCCCTCCTAAGTACAAAATGGACCCGGCCCTTGCTCTCCTCGTGCCTGCAAGGTGGCCACGTCACATGGACAGAGGTGGCGCCGGAGGTACTGACGGGATGAAGGCCATGGCGCTCACAAGCCTAGGCCCTACCCTATTACTTACAACTGGACTGACAAGCAGAGGCGCAGTCAGAAAACACTGCTCTTTGTGTTTGTTTTGTTTTGTTTTGTTTTGTTTTTTTGAGACGGAGTCTTACTCTGTCGCCCAGGCTGGAGTGCAGTGGCCGGATCTCAGCTCACTGCGCCCACCACCTCGCCCGGCTAGTTTTTTGTATTTTTTAGTAGAGACGGGGTTTCACTGTGTTAGCCAGGATGGTCTCGATCTCCTGACCTCGTGATCCGCCCGTCTCGGCCTCCCAAAGTGCTGGGATTACAGGCTTGAGCCACCGCGCCCGGCCCTGTTTTGTTTTTGAGATGGAGTCTTACCCTGTCGCCCAGGCTGGAGTACAATGGCATGATCTCGGCTCACTGAAACCTCCGTCTCCCAGGTTCAAGCAATTCTTCTGCCTCAGCCTCCCGAATAGCCACCACGCCTGGCTAATTACTGTATTTTTAGTAGAAATCGGATTTCACCATGTTGGCCAGGCTCGTTTCAAATTCGTGACTTCAGGTGATCTGCCCACCTCAACCTCTCAAAATGCTGGGATTACAGACCTGAGCCATTGCGCTCAGCCAGCCCCATCTTTTTTTTTTTTTTTGAGACTTTGTTTCACCCTTGTCACCCAGGCTGGAGTGCAATGGCATCATCTCAGCTCACCACAACCTCTGCCTCGTGGGTTCAAACGATCCTCTTGCCTCAGCCTCCCAAAGCAGCTGGGATTACAGGTATGAGCCACCACGCCCAGCTAATTTTGTATTTTTAGCAGAGACAGGGTTTCTCCATGTTGGTCAGGCTGGTCTTGAACTCCCAACCTCAGGTGATCTGCCCGCCTTGATCTCCCAAAATGCTGGGATTACAGGCATGAGCCACTGTACCTGGCTGCCCCATCTCTTAAAAAAAAAACAGCACGGTGTGGCGTCTCAAAAAAAAAAAAATTAGCCAGGTGTGGTTCAGGCACCTGTAATCCCAGCTACTTGGGAGGCTGAGGCAGGAGAACTGCTTGAAGCTGGGAGGTGGAGGTTGCAGTGAGTGGAGATCACACCACTGCCTGGGCGACAGAGCGAGACTGTTTCCAAAAAAACCCCCAAAACACAAAAACAAAAACAAACGAACGAAACTCTAGCTGAACAACAAAAAGACAGTGAGAACACAAACTACCCGTATCAGAAATGAAAGAGAACCACAGTACAGACCCTACCGCTTTTTGGTCCAACAGGGAAAGAAAAGGTGCACCTTCAGGCCAATGAATCTGACAACTCAGTGACAAATTCTTCCAAAAGATACAGGAAGTTTGAAAAGTTTGTTACCTGTTAAGGAATTTGGATCCATAATTAAAACCTTTTCTGAAAACTGCAGGTCCAGGTCGGGCGCGGTGGCTCACGCCTGTAATCCCAGCACTTTGGGGGCTGAGGTGGGCGGATCGCTTGAGCCCAGGAGTTTGAGGCCAGCCTGGGCAACATAGTGAGACCCTGTCTCTACAAAAATTTTTTAAATTAGCCAGGTGTGGAGGCGCGCACCACCTGTAGTCCCAGCTACCTTGGAGGCTGAGGCAGGAGGATCGCTTGAGCCCAGGAGGTGGAGGCTGCAGTGAGCCGTGATCGCACCACTGCACTCCAGCCTGGGCAACAGAACCAGACCCCACTCTCAAAACAACAACAAAAAAGCCAAGCAACCCCGCCAAACAAAACTCGCAGGTCATATTGGTGAATTCTATAAAACTATTTGGAAAGAAACCACATAAACTGTACCGTAAACCCTTTCCAACAAAGAGAAGGAAAGAATACTACCTATTTTACAAGGCCAGCATAACTCTGATACCAAAACCTCACAACACGGCGTCAAGGAAGGAAAATTACCAATAAATGCCCCTCACGAACACAGATGTAAAATCCTCCACAAAATATCAGCCAGTATTTCAGGCCCCTGCGATTTGTGTGAGAAATCTAAGACTGGTATAAATCCTCTCTACACACACAGGCCAGGCGCGGTGGCTCACGCCTGGAATCCCAGCACTGTGGAGGCCAAGGCGGGTGGATCGCTTGAGGTCAGGAGTTCAAGACCAGCCTGGACAATATGGTAACCCCACCTCTACTAAAAATACAAAAATTAGCTAGGCATGGTGACACACGCCTGTAATCCCAGCTACTCGGGAGGCTAAGGAGAATCGCTTAAACCCAGGAGGCGGAGGTTGCAGTGAACCGAGACTGGGTCACTGCACTCCAGCCTGGGTGACAGAGTGCGGCTCCGTATCAATAAAATAAAATGAGGTAAAATAAAGTAAAATATCTCTCTACACATCCACTAGCATGGCTAAAATGAAAAGACTGGCAACTCTACGAGGTGGCGAGGGTGTAGAGCAAACTCTCTGCTGGTGGGGTGATAAGACAGTACAATCACTTTGGGAAACTGCCCTCATAAAGGTAAGCACAGACCTACCCCAGCACCCAGGAATCCCACTCAAAGTATTTTCCTTCAGTAAATGGAAACATGCATTCAGAGACTTGCAGGCCGGGTACGGCGGCTCATGCCTGTAATCCCAGCACTTTAGGAGGCCAAGGTAGGAGGATCGCTTTAGCACAGTAGTTGGAGACTAGCCTGGGTAACATAGTGAGACCTTGTCTCTAAAAAACCGTTTTTAAATGAGCCTGAGCCAGGTGTGCTGGTGTGCAGCTGTCATCCCTGCGGCGCAGGAGGCTGAGGCGGGAAGATTGCTTGGGTTCAGAAGTGCGAGACCAGCCTGGGCAACACAGCAAGACTGTGTCTACGTTAAAAAATATATTTAGACGTAAATCAAAAACGCTGAGCGGCATGCATGCCCTGCCATCACTTGTGTAACGAAAACGGAGGGAACGAATCTGAGTAAATGCCTATTTGTCTATAAGTGTAAAAAAATATCGGAGGAGCATGGGGGAGAGAGAATCTGGCCACAATGGCAGCCTTGGAGTGGCTGGGAGACAAGATGACGGGCAAGCCCTTCAGAACAAGAACGGCGAACTGCCCTGGTAAAGGCTGGAGTTCATCAGCTTCGCAGGCCACACTGTCTGTGTTATGAGCAGAGACTGCCCGGTCCTGGAAAGGTGCTCCCAGGACGGCAGTGCACACAGCAGTGTGGCCTGCACCTATGACAAGGGCCTTTACAAGAACCGGAGCCGTGGCATCGGACCTCAACTGCCAGCACCGTCTTGGAACTTTCTCAATTAAAACCCATGAGAACAGGTAACGATGTAAAAAGTACATCTGCTTTAGGCTCAGAAGCTCAGACTGCCGGCTGGGTGTGGTGGCTCACGGGAAGCCCAGCTACTCGGGAAGCTGAGACAGGAGAATTGCTTGAACCCAGGGAACGGACGTTGCAGTGAGCTGAGAAGCTGGGATCATGCCATTGCACTCCAGCCCGGAAAAAAAAGCAAAGCCCCAACCCAAAAAAAAAAAAAAAAAAGCCAGACTGCCTGGGCTCGGATCCCAGCCCTGCCAGGGCCTTTGTGGCCTGAGCCTGCACCGGCCCATGCTGACCCGTTTCTGCGGGAACCGGTGCCGGGTCTGTGGCTGGCCCTCAGGAAGAGGGTGCTACCACAGCAGTGGCGTTGCCGCAAGGGCCACAGTGCCACAGCCTGTTCCCGTTTATGTGCTGAGGGCACAGCCAGTCTCTGCAGAGGTGATGGGCTGTGGATGCCCAGCTGGGCCCCTGAGGAAGGCCGCCTAATTGGGAGGGTGGGGCACACAGGCCACCTGTAGACGCGCCCAGATCTGCCTCAAGCGCTGGGGAGCAATGGTTCGGGGCAAGGAGGCCTCACAGGAGCCGACACTGAGCTGGGCCTTGAGCTTCCAGGCTGGGTCAGAGGTGAAAACACGGACACTCCACCCCTCAGTGTCTCAGGAGGAATTAGGGGAGGGTGGGTCCCCAATAAGCAGCAAGTCCATGCCGGGGGCAGAAAGGGCCCAGTCATTGAAGACCAAAACTCTGGGGTCCCTGCCCTGGGAGGCTCCCTCTGGGGGAGGCCAGGCTGTGCTTCTCTGCTGGGGACCTGGGAGATGCCCTGTGCTCTGACTGCTCTGCTGTGCCACTCGCCCCAGGCCGCTCACGGATCCCCCCAAACACCTGGCCCCCTTCTGCTGGGGAAGGGGCTGTGGCTGGCCCTCAGGAAGAGGGGCTACCGCAAACCTTCTCTTCTGCCCTCGGGGTCAGCTGTTTGGAGCCAGAAACCCGGGTGGCATCCACGCAGCCCCCGTCTCTGCTTCTTGCAAACATCCACTCCCCCAGCCAGTCCTGTCAGTTCTGCTTTCAAATGCCACCCGATGCGGACACCTGCCCCCAGCTCTGCTGGTCTCAGCAGCCAGAGCCTGCTCCCTGGGCTGGCTCTGCAGGAGACCCCTGGCCCTCAGCACCCCTGTTCAGGGCCACACCCACCCTGGCACACACACGGCCACCACCCTGGCCTCCTGCCTGGGCCCTACCAGCCATGCTGCCTCAGGGACTCTGCACACGCCATTCCCTCTTCTGGAACCTTCCTCTCCTGACCAGCCTCATGGCCCTATACTTGTCTTTGCACAAATGTAACCAGAAGGAAAGGCTTCCCTGAGCACCTCATTTAAAAACTGCACCCCCCGCCCCGCTTTTCTCCAAACCTTCTTCCTCCAAGGATCGACTCAGTTTCCCTGCATCACTCTGCTGCTCCTTCTTGTTGGGCCACTGAAGCATGAAGTTCCCCGAGGGGGACGGTTTCGTGGACTGCCCGGCACCCACGGGCCACAGGACCAAGGCACAGGCGCTGCTGAACCAGATGCACCTTTGCGGCCAGGTGCAAGGCTGGGCCCTGCCAGGCAGAGCTGGTTCTGGGATGAGGTGCTCAGCCAGGCCCTCCAGCCCGTGCATGCAAAGCAGCCCATGGGCCCAATCCGAGAGCCCAACAAGAAGGGCCCAGCCGCTGGCTCCACCCAAGGCTGCCAGGGAGCCTCGCGAGATGCTGCCGACATGAATATTTAACGCCAGGAGCAGATGCTCACAGCATGGGGGGGTGGTTACAAAACAGCAGCCAGGACAGCCACACGCTCCTACAATCACACAGGCAAAGGGGGAAGGCGGCAAGCACGGCCCGCTGCGCTGAGGCGGCCCACTCGGGCAGCAGGGCGCCAGCCGGGCTGCTCTGCTGTTGACTCCAGTTTTCTAGGACAGGCGCATCATTGTGCAAGTGTAAATAGAAATGAAACACGGGGAGATTTTAAAAGGCTGATCGGGGCCGGGTGCGGTGGCTCACGCCTGTAATCCCAGCACTTCTGGGAGGCCGAGGCGGGCGGATCACGAGGTCAGGAGATAGAGACCATCGTGGCTAACACGGTGAAACCCCGTCTCTACTGAAAAATACAAAAAACTAGCCGGGCGCGGTGGCGGGCGCCTGTAGTCCCAGCTACTCGGGAGGCTGAGGCAGAATGGCGTGAACCCAGGAGGCGGAGCTTGCAGTGAGCCGAGATCCGGCCACTGCACTCTAGGCTGGGCGACAGAGCAAGACTCCACCTCAAAAATAAAAAAATTTTAAAAAAGCTGATCGGATGGGACCATTCCGCCTCCAGCTGGCCCATGTGCTGGCCCCCTCCTCCAGGCTGTCCCCTCCCCAGCACATACAAGTTCTCTAACTCCCAGCCCCGCCCTGTCCAGCTAAAAGCTACCAGCACCAATTCTCCACCCCAGGTCCCCCAGATCAAGAGTAGAGGCAGCACGGTCAGGTATGAGGGACACAGGGGGCACTGTCCTGGAGGGGTGGGGAACAGGTGCCCCGGCCAGGCACAGGGGGCGGTGCTGACAGCTCCACCCATCAGTGAGAACATTCACAGGCTGCCATGGGAGGGGGACCAGTGGGCAGGAAGCAGAGCAGGAGACTGTGGCCGGCGGGCAGGTGGGGAAGCTGGGCTGGGCAAGGCAGGGGCCACAGGGGATAGGAGAAGGACCAGTGGGATGTGGGGGTGGCTGCCAGCAGTCCCCTAGCTGGCAGCGGTGGGCCCATCCCTCCTCCTCAACCAGAAGGCCAGGACCTGGGGCAGAGCTGGCGGAGTCCCCTTGTTCCCCAATCATAGGCATGGGAAGTGCCAGCAGGCCGAGTGGGTCAGATTACCCCAAACATGGGACAGTGACACAGGATGCCCCGTGCCCCCCCAGGCTCCCAGTGTGCAGACGGACAGATGGTGGGCCTGGGCGGGCAGCAGGCCTGCCTGTGGAAGGCAGGTGGCCACTTGCCTCCTGCACCTCTCAGTTTCCTCACTGACCCCCAAAATCATACCAGAACCTCAGGGGCGCTGCAGCCCTTGGGGAAAGGAGGATAGTTTTCAACCTTCCCTGGACCCACCATTCTCGGGTTCCAGCCTCTGCCGCCTGCGCCCAGGCTGCTGCGTCCCTCCTCCTGGGCACACCACACTCTGGCCACAATGGACTCCATTCAGCCCTGTGAATGAGCCCTCTCTGGCCATCGGCCTCTGCCCTCACTGCCCTCTGCCTGGAGTAGACTCCCCTGCCCCCTCCCCTCTGCCCAGAGTACACTCCCCTGCCCCCCATCTCTGCCTGGAGTACACTCCTCTGCCCCCTCCTCTCTGCCTGGCTTCTTGGGAGTCACCCTCAGGTCTGGACTGGAAGCTGCTGCCTCCAGGAAGCCTTCCTGACTGCTACCTCCTCACAAATGTAGAGTGAATGGCTCCCGCTACCGACAGCAGCCCCTGAAAGCCCTCTGCCTGCCACAAGACGCTCATCACCTGGCACTTCCGTGTGGCACCTGAGCAGGGGCCACGCTACCTTGCTGTGGCCTGGGCAATGCTCGCCCAAGGGCTTCAGAGACTGAAGGGCACACGTGCCTACACACAGCACAGCACATGCCCGACTGGCAGCTCTTGGCTAGTGCCAGGGCTTCCTGCCTCTGGGGGCGTCTGAAGCCGTGGCGACAGGGGCTCCACTCTGCACAGCAGGCGGGCAAGCAGGCAGATTCTTCGGGGTGCCCGCTGGAGGAGCAGCTCTGTGCCCGGCCAGTGTGTGCCCTTCCTTCCGCCCCACATCTCCTGACAGCCTCTCTTCCCATGTACCCTGACAGGAGGGTCAGGCCCCCTAGTCGGACTCCCCAGGTGGTGCAGGCTGGGAAGGGGTGGGGCGGGCTTCCTTGCTGAGAAGCAGGACAGGGTCCCCAGCCTTCACGAGGTTCAGGTCAGAGCCTCTGCTCAGAGGCAGGACCTAGTTGGCTCAGAATAAGGGAAGACAGGCCGCTGTGTGACCTTGGGCCATTCTCCGCACTGTTATGGGCGCCAGCCCCGTCACCACACATGGTACCTCCCATTGGAGCCAATCATCTGTGGCCCGAGGCCCCCGTAGCCTGCTCTGCAGCTCTGTCACCCCCTCCCCCAGCCCAGCATTCCGCGCCACGTGATTTATGGCTCCTGTCCGCCTGGCGCAGTCTCCATCCTGGAGCCGGCCGGCGGCTATTCTGGGGAAACAGACCAGAGCAGTGGGCCTCACGCTGGCCGGTGGGTCACAGCCAGAGGCGGGGGCAAGGGGGAAGCCGGTGGAACTGGGTCCTCCTGAGGCGGCCCCCCGCAAGGCCAGCACCACAGAGTGCACCCTGGGGAGGGACACAGCCCAGGGTCGGGGTGGAGGGATGGCATCTCAGGCCCTGAAACCAAGGGGAGCACTACTTTGGGGCCAGGGTCTATGCTCCAGGAAACCTCTAAGGACCCAGGCATTCCCCGGGGGGGGGTCCCCCAAGAGCATGGGAATCTAGGAAAGGGGGTTCACCTGGCGGCCTAGGATGGAGAGGGAGCCAGTGGGAAGGAGAGGAGAGGTAGGGTAGGGTTGGCCTCTTTGTTCTGAGCCGCCAGCAGAGTCATACTGCTGTAGACAGGGGAGCTGGCTCTCCCGGAGATCAGGTGACCGGGGTCCCTGGGGGCTCAGGGCACAGTGATGCATTGTGGGATGGAGCCACTGGTCCCCGTGCAGGAAGGAAGACGGTCAGCCCCGTCCCCCGCCCTGGACCAAGCCTGCCCTGCCGCTCCCGGGAAAGCCCAGCCTCCCTGTGATGCAGGTCCTTCCCAAGGCCCAAGCTTCAGAGACAGCCGGCTCTGCCCAAGAACCCGCCAGGGGGAACCGCTTCCCTCATGAGGCAGCAAAGGCCGGGAAAGTCAGGCCAAGGCCCCAGTCCCCCAGGACAGGTGCCGCTGGGCCAACCTGCTCCCCAGGAGGCTGCCGCTAGACACCTCCTGCAAAAGAAAAAAGGTGGAGGCGGAGCCTCACTTGGAAGGCGGAGCCTCAGGCTGGAGGGAGGAGCCTCACTGTCTCAGGAACCACCGTCAGCATCTTCCTACCTCCTCCACCTCCTCCATCCTCACTTGGAAGCCCAGCTCCTCCAACCTAACCTCACAAAGTCCCAGGGCTGTAGGTGGGAGGGGAATGGCGGCCAGTTCCCCTTCCCCACACCCTCATTGACCCTGCCTCCCGGGGCAGGGGAGTGGGGCCAGCTGGCACCCAGTGGACTGAAGCGTGCCAGAGAGGAGCCCTCAGGCCACAGCAGGGACCAGGCAGGTCGCTGGGTCAGCAGGGTGGGAGGGGGCGTGCAGAGGCTTCCTGAACCTCGCGGCCTTGGTCCCGTTCCCTGCTGCGTGTCCATGCCTGGTGCCCATCACGCACCCACCCAGCAGGCACTCCCACGTTTACCGCACTCCGACGTTTACTGCACGACGTTTACTGCGAAGGAAAGAGTGGGGGCAGGGGAAGGGAGGCAGGAAGAAGAGACCTCCAGGCACCCAGAGGACCTGGTAAAATCTGAGCGCCTCGGGGCACAGGTCCGCAAAAGGCCCAGGATGTTCCGCTCCCTAACTGGGAGTCCCAGAGGCTGCACACTCTCCCTGCCCTGGGGGCTGGGGCTGCTCTGGCCTCCCTGGCCCTGAGCTCAGGGCTATGGTTGAGGCAGAGACCGGGCTTGATACCCACCTGCAGCCTGAATGGTCACGGCTGCTGGGAGGCGCCAGGGGCCTGTCCACACTGCTGTGGGCTGCGAGGTCCTGACACACAGTTCCTGCTCAGTCAGTGCTTGCAGACAAAGACATGAGAGAGACAAGCGTGGAGCCCAGCACCTCTCCTCTGCCTGGGATCGCCCTGAGCCCCCAGCACGCCTGGTGCACACAGCCTGGCAGTGACCTGAGCCCGCTGACCAAGGCCATACCTGCAGGCTGCCAACGAGGAACCAAAGCCTGGGGGAAGGAGGGAAGGCCGATGCCACTGGCCAGCCCCCTTTCCATGGGGAATAAGCAGGGAAACCAGGTTCCCAGGTGACCCTGGTCACCCCTGGCCCTGGCAGTCACAGCCTGGTGTGGTCCCTGCCTGTGCCACAGAGTCTGTGAGCAATGGACTCCATGGGGGAGACGGCAAGGCGTGTCCGAGGCTGGGTCATAAAAAGGGCTCCAGCTCCCAGCTGGACGTACACGCTCGCTACCCTAGGGTGAGGGAGCCACCAGGCTGAGGAAGTCCGGGCAGCCCGTGCAGGAGGCCGCACAGTGAGGATCTGGAGACGACGGCCAAAAGCCGGTGAGGAGCTGCGGCCTGCCAGCCTCCACACGAGGAAGTGGCTGCTCCAGCCCTGGTCGAGCCTCCGGATGAGGTGACTCCAGCCTGACTGAGCCTCATGAGAGCCCCCGAGCCCCAACGCCCCGCAACGTGGCTCAGGAGCTGTTAGGCTCCTGAGAGCTAACAGACGCCCACTGCTCCATTTCAAGGTAACTTGTAACACAGCAAGGGGTGACCAATATCAAAGATGGTCCCTTTGCTTCCAGGGAAGGACAGCCCTGGCCATCGTGGCTCCCGCCCTGGCCGCGCCAGAGAACATTACCAAAGGTGGGCTGCGTGGCTGGGCTGGGCGACAGGGCCTAGGCGAGGCCTCCCGTCGCAGCCTCCCCGGGGCGGCCACTCACCTAACTCGGTGGGCTTCAGCAGCTCGTCCAGCATGTTAAAGAAGGGCAGCTTCACCAGGCGGACTTCTGGCTTAAGGGTCTTGGCGGGCAACCGTCCCAGTCCGTTTAAGTACTTCCCGTAGAGCACGGGGTAGTCAATATTGGGGCCTGCCAGCGGAGTCCTGGGCACAGCGCCGGCCCGGTCGTAGGTGGAGTGCATGGTCAGGGGGTCCAGAGGCCGGTGCGGCTGCTGGGCAGGCTCCGAGTTCTTCTTGGCGTAGCGGGTCTCGTACAGCTCCTTGATCTTTTTGAACAACTCGGGGCTACAGTCAAACTGCACCAGCTGGAGGGCCCTGGTGACGAGCTCGT